GAATCTCTCCACACAACATTGGTGTTTGGCAAATTGTAACAGTGAATCCTGGACTGATCTGGGAGTGAGAAAAGCTAGTTTAAGACCCAGCTCATTGTTTGTAGGATTTTTAGAAACTAAATTTCCCTGAGCCCATAGCCTGTTCCAAACCGTGAAACTAAAAAGACTCACCTTACTTTTTTCGTGATATTGCTCTGAGGTTCACAGGGAATAATCGAAAGTCTTCAGCTGAAGTTACATATATATGAAATGCTACTAATAGCTAAAATACCCTATATATTTTGTTTCACTTCATAGGCAAATGATATATAAAAGCAGGCAATGCTTCTATACTCAAAGAGTTAAAATCTGTTTGGAAAGTAAGGTACGTGCTGGAAATAGTAAGTAATGTTTTTAAAGAAGGCCAGAGAGGGGGATTAGCAAAGAGTAGGGAGTGCCATTCCAAACTGGAGATCTGCAGTACACAAAGGCACCTTTGTCCAGCAGGAAATGCTTCATTTAAATACAGGGATCGTCAAAGCATAAATGATTCTAAATTATGTTAAGTAAATAAAACAAAAGTAAAAGCTATTTTTTATTAGAACTCTTCTTATACATTTTATGTAAGAACACAGTGCCAGATTACAAATTTAGTAAATCCCTTGTATCAGGCATATGTTTGATTAAATATTACTTACCTTAGTAACGTTTTTCTTAAAATTCCAGAATGTCACAGTAAATCCATGGTGAAATCATCTGTCACCCAATGATCCTAACTATAATCTACTTTTCAGAAAATATCAAGCTTATATCAACTTACATCAAAGCACATTTACTTACAAACTGTTTGCAGGAGATCACTAAATGCCAGTTTTGGGCTTTGTTTTGTTTTTGACAGTTTCTAATCTTTACATAAGAACCATGTTCATTTATATATTCACAGGGCTAACATGTGGCCTTAATAATATTTAATTTTTCAATAAATAGTTTACAAATTAAGCTGAGTTAGAAAACCAATAGGGACTAGTAGTTGCTTATTCATTATCATCTATTCTTCCTCTTTTCTCATAAACAAAATTATGAATAATTTGGCACATATTCAGTTCAATTTTTTAATTGACTAATACTCTTTTCAGTGAAATAAAAGTAGAGGTTAATACCATGTGATTTCTTTAAAAATATTTTATTTTTTTAAAGGGAGAGTTTTGCCATCCTGGTGGTGCTCAAGGCTTACTCTTGGTGATGCTTTTGGTGCTGGAGAAACAACAAACCCAGGTTGGTCACATGCAAGGCAAGAGACATTATATGCCCCCTCTCTTTTAGGCCCTTGGAACACTTTTCAAAAAGGAATAACCATTAATAGTTTTGTACTCCTGCTCTTCAATTTACTTCAAGTCTTCCTAACCAAAATAGATATTTGTGTTGGGGACAGAATAGTTATTTAAGTTTCTAAAGGGTACCTGCATGCTGCAGGTGACAAAGTAAGAAATTAAAATCAATTTTGGTCTTCAGTGCTTGCCTCAAGTAGCAGACTCAGCCATGACCTGTGTATCTCTGAACCTCACTATGAAATATTTCTATTGCATACATTCTAAGCCCAATGCAGTCAAATTCTTAGATCCCTAGACTTTTCTATAGGGGAGTAGTTCTTAAAGAGAGGAAAAACTGACTAAAAATCATAAACATGGTTTGTCATTTTTCCCCTCCAAAAAAGGAATTGTTCCTCCTCCCGCCTGGATCAGAATCATGGTTAACCATTGGAAATGTTACTACCCTCCCAGGTGTTGGATCCACTCAAGGGAGAAAGTTAGAAAGTCCTGCTCTAGAGAGGCCTATAATAGAATCCTTATAGTCTTACATTATTGGAGTGGCTACACACTCAGTATTAATTAAACAATTAATTAAAATTAATTGATGAGATAAACCTGAAAAGCAAAAAATATGTTCTTGAGATATCTCTGATTTTTCTCAATGCAACATCAGGCATGCTTAGAATTTGATAGAGACAGCGAGGGTATCAGGGGAGTTAAGCTAGGAAGTGTGGATAGCATGACCCATAATAATAAAATATTAAATGAAGGTCATTTTAATGACCATTCAATTAGATATGTTACATTAAGCAGAATTTGGCCTTGATTTTAGGAGATATCAGCCAACTGTACATTCAGTGACTAGAAGCTGGTGAATTCACAAGGCAACTTCACTGTTGAAGAGTGAATAATGGGAAAGTTACTTTACATAATGAAATGAATATCTTAATATAATTATCCAGACTGGTTAGTCCTAATCTATTGCCTTACATTTGAATTCTTCTTGACTAATTCATTTCACAATCTCTAATAAGTATTATTAGAAGTATTGTAAGAAATATTCTGGGATAGATACTAGGATAGAAAAATGAGATATTTATTTTTTTCAAATCAGAAAAAAATGTATATGTTAAAGGTAAATGAAACATCAAGGTGCCCCACTGCTTATATGCTCTGCTATAGTGAGGTCACAGAAGAGAAATAATCAATTTATTTGGGATGACCAGTAAGGATCTCAGCTAGCATCCAATTCAAGATATGATGAGGGACTTTATAAACTATTTTGCTAAAACCATTATGAACTAACTTAGTCTGTTCAATTTTTCTTCATTGTTCCAAATTTGCAATTCTATTCTGACTCAGAACTGAATTTTTCATGATTTGATCTCAGTAATTACATTCTGTTATTATTATTATTACTACTACTACTACTACTGCTACTACTACTATTACCATTAGTAGTATTATTATTGGTGGAGGTGGGCTTGGGCCATAACTAATGGTGCTCAGGGGATACTCATAGTTCTGTACCGAGAAATGACTACTGAGAGTACTTGAGGGACTAAAAGTGTATGAAGAATTTGACTTAGGGTCTGGAACATGCAAGATAAACATTTTTTTTTTTATGTAGGAGTACTGTTATTTATTCAGCCACTGAAACATTTTTTTTTATGTAGGAGTACTGCTATTTATTCAGCCACTGATTAGCTGATTGAATTGGGCATCAACTCCACACAAGATAAACATCTTACTTCCTGTACTATGTCTTCCACCCAGTGATTCATTTTATATCCTATTTGGTCACTTTGTACCTCAGAGAAATGCATTAAAATTACACAATCTGGACCAGGGGTATAGCTCAATGGTAAAACTCATGCTTGCATGCAAGGGACCTGGGTTTATTATCTAGCACCATAAGCGAAAACAGTCCATAATCCCCTGTCTGAAGTTCAGCAGTCAGCATTAATAGTTCTGATAATCTTCTTCCCTGACAACACTATAAAGGACCTCCGGATTATTTATTTACCAGCTAATTTTGTCTGAAGTCACTTTTCTGATCCTTAGATTTTGGTAGGCAAAACCACACTTAATTATCTTCGCAGCCTTACAATAGGTTCTCCAGATTCATTTCTCTACCTGACCCTTAGCAGCATCCTCATTCATGCTTAAGGGGAGGTTGAGAAGCCTTTCTAATGACATCAAGCCAGTTGCCAATTTCAAACCTCATATTAATGTCTTCAACTTTTGCATAGGATTATGTATTGCTACATCCTCATGATTCTGTAAAATTTGGGGTTTTTTTTGTAGGAGTTAACATTTGCATCATGCAGTGTTTACATATTTTTGCTAGAAATTTGAGAGTATTTTTCATAATTTTTATTTACAATATTTGTCACTGTGTTCTTTTTATATTCACCAAGTGCAAAGTTATATACTAGGTACACGTACTGGGAGACAGATGTAGATACAATGATGAACAAGAACTGAATTTTAAAGCCACCAAGGAGCTAGAGATCCCTTGTGAGAGGTTAATGTGCATATGTATAATATAGGAAGTAGCAATTCCGGTTTCTTTTTGATGGGCAAGCATTTTGAAGACTCGAACTATGTGTGTGAAAAATTAACACAACCATTAAAAAGCACCTCTTAAGAGATTAGTTCATTGTAGGTAGGGAGAAAGACTATTATAATGGTGATCATCACTTTCCATACACCAAAAATTTTTTTCTCTCTCCATGCCCCCCCATCTCTCTCTTTCTCCTCTCGCTCCTGTGTTTGTGGTTAAGCATAATAATCCAAAAATTTCTATTTGCCACACATTTCTATCTAAGTCTGAAAACACTTCCAGTTGTCTAGCAGTTAAACTAAAGAGTTGGTACGCTTTCTAAAAGAGCAAAATTACTTAATTTTAACCAAATATTTTTTGCTACTTTCTACTTGAGAAAATCATTTTGGTTGATTAATGTTGTTTGTCAAATACCAAAAGTATAAAACTAAGAGGTTTGGGATCAAGGAGAGTTAAAGGGGTGGAGTGCGTGTGCCTTGGATGTGCAAGGCCCCTGATTCTAGTCCCAGCTTTGGAAGACCCCTCCCAGCACTGCTGGACATAGTGGGGATCAACCACTGCCCCCCCAACCCATACCACTGATGTGGACCTTGCAGCCCCCAGCATCAACTGGTTGCTGTAGCACTGGGCTCACACACGGTGCACCCTTAAAATAAAAACAAACCTAAGAAGTGACTCTGTCCCCTTCGTAAAAACCCATCAAAAGACAAGATCTTTCACTTTTTTCTGTAAAAGAAACTATAGTCTCTAATGGAAAAAAAATAATCAGTTCAGGTGACATTGTGGTTATTTAGTGGTTATTCTTACCCAAAAAAAGTAGAGAATAATCATCTTCTTTCTTCTTTTTACTTATTTTCCCCACCATTAGATTCAGAAAATCTCATTCTGTGTTAAGCATAACTTTGTCTTTCTTGCAAAGTTATTCTTTTGGAATGAAAATCTAACTCAGTGGTCTAGGGAGTGATTTCTTTTCCTGGGGCAGTAATTTCAGCACTGAGCGTCAGAACAGTCGTTTCAGCATGGAAAGCAACTGAAAGGGTTAATCCTGGACTTGGCTGGATGTCAGTTAAACATTTTTTTTTCCTGGCTCTGCGCTGGGTTTCCCCTTGAAGGGATTTCCCTCCTCCAGCAAGGCTCTTTATAAAGAGCAAACTCTCTATTTCACTCCTCACTGAGCTCCCCTGACTTGAGGAGCTCAGGATTCTTCCCAGGCACTTCCAGGTGGGACAAAAAGAAGTTTTGGAAACATTATTTTCTCATTACAGCAGCAACTTAAAATGCCTAGGAAAATGGCCGGGATTTTTGGAGCCTCAAATGTACTTTGGATGGTGTTTGCAGCCTGTAAGTTCTGCTTGATTTGTTCCAAATGCCTGCATTCCATTTCAGTTCTGAATTTGGCGTCAGTTAGTTTTTCTAGGAGAGTGAAAAAAAGTACTAGACTTTTTCAATAGTGGGAAAACTAAATTTAACCTTATTTTTTAATGTGCTAATGAGAATTGCTATGTGCCATTAGATTGTTGGAGCTGATATATATATATATATATATATATTTTTGAACACCCTCTTTTCCCCCATGTCAAATGAGTAAATGGATTTGGTCTTTTGTAAGGTCTCTCTTTTGTTTCCTGCACTTGATAATGAAATCAAACTTAGCAAGGAACAAAACAACTCTGATAAATGGGTTTCAAGAACAAAAAGCAAGTTCTTCTAAGTGAAGATGTTTCCAACATCCTTGGCAGGAATTCTAACGCTTTGCAGTTAATTCAGAGCAGTTTAGAAAGAAATCAGCCAGATGGTATTTTGGATGTTGTATTAGGAAAGAGGAGAGGATGTAGCATACCAAACAAAAGAATCATACATTTGTTTTCTCTTGTACATTTGCAGCTCAAGCTTTTAAAATTAAGATCTTTCCTGAAGACAAAATTGTTGCTCAGATTGGAGATTCGGTTTCACTGACTTGTAGCACCACAGGCTGTGACTCTCCGACTTTGTCCTGGCGAACTCAGATAGACAGTCCGCTGAACGCCCAGACGAGACATGAAAGGACTAAGTCTACACTGACCATGGATCCAGTTAGTTTTGAGAATGAACACTCGTATCTGTGCACAGCGATTTGTGAGTCTGAAAAACTGGAAAAAGTAACTCAGGTGGAGATCTACTGTGAGTAATTTGAGAAAATCTTTGGTTTTATTTTAACTTTGTTTTAAAACAAGTTTTTATGAACGTTGTCTCCATTTTTTTTTACATCTTTAAAAAATTTCATTGAGGTATCTTGGCTTGCAATACCATTAATACTTTTGTTTCATGTTTGCAATGCAACTGCACCACACCCACCACTAGAGTTCCAGTGTTTCTCTACCATGATCCTTCAGTTAAAGGCTATTTTTGAAAGAAACTTTTTATAAAGATATTCATGTTCATGTTTTCAGACATACAGCAGCAAAAAATAAGAACAAAACCTAAAGACAGCTGAACTTGGGTTAGAAACACAAATTCTTGCTTTTTACATCCAACTCTGTCCCAAATATGGTGATTATTGCTAAGACTGTATCTCTTTGGATTATAGTTTTCTTAACCATGAATGAAGATTTATAAAGCTCTTTTTATATTAAAAAATTCAATTTGCTTACTTTTTTATATATCTATTTTGGTCATACTTCTCAATGATTGATGAATTCCATCCTCAAGGAGTTTTCTGTTTATTCCGTTATTGTTTGATGTTTAAAATTAGTTTAAAAACTAAGAAGTTATATAGTTTAGCAATGGGTTTCTGTATAAAAGTTTCTTCATTAAGCATAAGGAAAACTGCAGAAAATTTTTCACTTGTTTGACTTTGGTATCAATAAGCTTATGGTTTTTGTTTGTTTGGTGCCTAGGTGCTAACATTCAGTCACTTAAGCTCAAAGTTGTTTGTATAATGCATTTGACATATGAAAGTAACTGAGTACATCTAAATAAACATTCTACCAAAATGTACCCCAGTCCATTTTCAGTTCAGCAAATAAAGTTAGCAAAAGAACTAAAAAACTAACCAGAAACCAAGCACTTAGTTACAGTGAATGATGGCTGTTCTTTCAAAAATAAAACAAAAATGAATTCCTTGAGGCTGAAGAGAGAAGTATAGACTCTTGCACTGAATGTGACTGACCCAGGTTCAATCTACAGCACCACGTATGGTGTCTCAACAACACACAGGAATGATTCCTGATTCCTGTGCATCTGTGCATGTGCACCATAAGATGTAATCTCAAAACCAAAAAAAAAAAAAAAAAAAAGGAAGGAAAAAAGTGCTTTCTGATCATTTCCTCATGAAGAGATCTTTTATCTATCTTCTATTTGTTCCTTTCTACTGTATTGGAATCAAATTTTACTCAGTAATCATAAAGTGATTCTGCAATAATTCCCATGTGTTGCTAATGCTTCCCAAGGAAGTGCCTTGCAGACTGTTTTTAATTATATTAGTTGTATGTAGAGTTGTGCCTGTTTATGCTTTAGAACTCTTAGAAAGATTCCCATATATACAGGGAAAAGTAGCAAGTTCTTATATTACCTTATAGAAAACTGTGGATTATAGATGGATTTATAACAAAATATTAAAGAAAAAATTATTGGTGGAAAATGAAAAAATACTGTTTTTATTTTTCACATAGCAAAACATTTCCAGTTCCATTTATTTTGCTCACATATGCCAAACAGCTGGAAATTTTAGAAAGAGAAATAAAAACTCTTCTGGTTTTAATTATCTTGCTTGAGTTTTTTTCTTCAAGAATGTAAGACTCACATAATGTTTAATAGCCCCTTCTGTATTCCATGTTTGATTGTAATATTGTTTAGAGTGGGACCTTTATATTCTTTTTTCAAAGACTGTTGAATCTGACCCATTTATTACCACCATGATGATTTGTAGTGAAAGATAACCTTGCAAAGGGAAGCATTGGCTGACAAAGTGTGTTTCCTTGACCCTATTGATTTAATTTAAGTAGATTACCTGTTAGGAAAATTGGGCTGGGCATTTTAGTGACCAAATCAATCTTTAAAATTTTAAATATTGCACATATATATATGTAGGTAAATTTCTATTGGAAATACCATTTCCAGTAGCCAATTATTTAATGTTGTTCTTTTTATTTCTTACTATATCATGACCAAAAATTGTTTTTTACAAAGACATTGCAAGCCTAAATTCCTTATGTGTAAACTCTTATATAATATAATATAAAGCACAGCAGTAGGGCGTTTGCCTTGCACGCAGCCAACATGGCCGACCCGAGTTCGATTCCTCCACCCCTCTCGGAGAGCCTGGCAAGCTACTGAGAGTATCTTGCCTGCACGGCAGAGCCTGGCAAACTCCCCGTGACGTATTCGATATGCCAAACACAGTAACAACAAAGTCTCCAATGGAGACATTACTGGGCCTGCTCAAGCAAATCGATGAACAACGGGAGGGCCTTTAATAACAATATAGAATAGAAATCATGAGTTTAAATCCCATTTACCAGGTGGGAATGCAAACGTTGTGTCCAGGTTTTGATATCTATTACATATGGCCTCTATTTATTAGGGCTATGTGAAGTTAAATCATTTATCATTATTATTAATGGTGATTAACTTATTGAAATATATGATACATGAATAGCACACTGACCAGTTTATACAAGTATTCAATAAACATTAACTTTTCCGCTTTCCTTTGTTTCAATAAGATGCAACTCTTAGTTATATACATAGTACATGTGTATAACTGAAAAACTCTCTAAAAAGAGATCCCAGTTCTCTAACCCATCCAGAACTATACGATAGGCTATTTAAAGACTACATTCTGATATAGTAAGTTTGTTCTATTTTAAATCAGTATGGGAGTGGAACCTGAGTGACTGTGTGGTGGGCAGTTCCTTTGCATGCGCCCTACCCAGGTTTAGTCCCCAGAATCTCATGTGGCCGCCCAACCCCCTCCAAGAGCGATCCCTGAGCACAGAGCCAGGAATAAACAATACAGATAAGTGTGGCCCCAAAACAACAACAAAATAAGTCAATAAGTAAGTCAGTAAGGGGCTTTATAATCATGAACACAAAGTCCACTCATGTATTTATTTGTTTGACCTTTGCAGCTTTCCCTAAGGACCCAGAGATCTCTTTGAGTGGCCCTCTGGAGATTGGGAAGCCAGTCACCGTCACATGTTCGGTTGCTGATGTTTACCCATTTGACAGGCTGGAGATGGAATTAATGAAGGGCAACAAACTCCTGAAGAATCAGGAATTTCTGGACGATATGAATTCAAAGTCTCTGGAAACCAAAAGTTTGGAAGTAACCTTTACCCCTAACAAAGAGGATATTGGAAAATTTCTTGTTTGCCGTGCTAAATTACACATTGATGAAATTGATTCTGAGCTCAGAGAAAGGGAGACCACAAAAAAACTGCAAGTCTATAGTAAGTGCTTGTGTAATATGCTCTAGACTATGAAAGTTTAGTCTTGGATGTACACAGTAATAAATTTCAGCAGTTAAACTCCAGAAGGAACTAATTCTCATTTTTACATTAATGTTATTCACTGAAAAATTATATTTATCAACAGCATAACTAATGAGCAGAACGCTGAATTTAGGTTAGGAGTTTTGTTTAAGTTCTGGTTCTGTTAGCCATGTAAACTTGGATCACTTAGGTCTTTACTGATCTATTAGAGGAGAATACTATCACCAGATTTTGAATAGTAGGAAATAGACTCAAATGATAAAATGTTTTCAGCATATGCAAAAAATTTCACAATATGCCTTGAAGTATCAAAATATAGATATTTTATAAAGTGAGTGTTCTCTGCCTCTGTGTGTATGTTTGTGTGTGTGCATGTGTGTGTGTGTGTATGCACGCTCATATGCTCATACTCATCTGCATTCATGTGTATTGGATGGGAGAGAGAAGATGAGGTTTAATGGTTTCCATATTCCCTAATATTGCCAGGAATATGAAGCAGTCTTGGGTTGCTGGGTAGGGGTTGGGTTATTGTACTTCATTCAAGATGAACATGCTGCATTTTCAGTTATACCATACTTAAAGGAAGCATTTGTCTAGTTGAATATTTAGTTGAAAGAAAATGAGATCGAGGTTTCTTATCAATATTGTGAGAAGAACAGTCAAGATAGAGAAGAACAGTCAAGGATATCATTCTCAGAGAATAAAAAACTTTGAAAGAGAGCTATAATTAATTGAAAGACAGTCCTGTGGAAGGATTTTGATTTATTGTATCCTAGTAGAAGACAGAACTATGACCAATGAGTAAAAATAAGTAACAAAGAAGAAATTTTAGTTCAACAGAGATAAGAAGTGCTAATATTTAGAATAGACAGAACCGTCCAAAAATCAAATGCATTATCTCCACTCATAAGTGTTGTAGCTGACATAGAAGAACATGTGGTGATGATGCTATGGTGGCAGATGGGAAGTCTGGACCACGTTAAGTGTCCCTCTTAAGTTCTGAATATCTGTGGACACTGAAAACACCAATGATCAAAAAAGATTTAGAGGTGGGAGAAATAGGACGGTGGGTAAGGTACTTGTACCACATATGGTCCCCAGTGCGCCTCCAGGAGCGATCACTGAGCACAGGCAGCTGTAGCACCACCCTCTGCAAAACTACTTTTATCAATTACAAATGATAGTGATTTATTTAACGACTTGGTAATTTTTTATACTAGTTTGGCCTAATGAGTTTGCCAAATTCATGAAAGCACATTATACAGTTATAAGAGAAATAGTTTCTACTGTGGCATCGAGATGATGCTAAGCAATTACTTGTGCTCTTCTTTTCCAGTCTCACCCAAGAACACATTCATAGTTGTGAAGCCCCCCGGCAAGCTTCAAGAAGGTGACTCGGTAACAATGACATGTGTCAGCGAAGGTCTACCAGCTCCTCAGCTTTTCTGGAGCAAGAAACTAGAGAATGGGGATATCCAGGTCCTTTCTGAGAACGCAACTCTCACTTTAATTGCTATGAGGGTAGAAGATTCTGGAATTTATATATGTGAAGGAGTTAATCCAGGTGGAAAACACAGAGAAGAGGTGGAATTAATTGTGCATGGTAAGCAGAATGTGAAAAAAAATGATGACACTGTCATTGCTATTTGAGCACTTGTGAAACAGCTTCAGTACCCAAATTTCTGCTTTATGTTTTTTTCTATTCATGACCCATTTGGTTGTCATATCTTATACTTTTGAAGAATTTCTAAGAGATTAATGCATCTTTTCTCATTCTTACCCATCTCTCATCATTGCTTCACTGCCTCATTGAATATTAACTTTGCAACCCTGGTCTCTCCTTCTTTGTACTTTTGATTCCCAAGATAAAGGGCTAGAGAGTTAGTAGAGGGGCTAAGATACTTGCCTTGAATGTGAACTATTGTGAGAAGAACAGTCAAGATAAAGAAGAACAGTCAAGGATATCAATCTCTAAATGTGGTTTATTCCACAGCACCACATATAAGCCCCTCCAAGCAGTGCCAGATGTGATTCCTGAGCACAGATACAAAAGTAATCCCTAAGAACTGCCAGGTATGACCCTCCTGTTACTGTCACTGTCCTCCCGTTGTTCATCGATTTTCTCAAGCGGGCCCAGTAATGTCTCCATCACGAGACTTTGTTGTTACTGTGTTTGGCATATTGAATACATCATGGGTAGCTTGCCAGGCTTTGCCGTGGGGGTGAGATACTCTCAGTAGCTTGCCAGGCTCTCCAAGAGGGGCAGAGGAATTGAACTCGGGTCGGCCATGTTGGCTGCGTGCAAGGCAAACGCCCTACCCGCTGTGCTATCGCTCCAGCCCATGGCCCTCCTAACCCAAATAAAATCAAATGGAGTCCCAAATGGTAGACTATGATAGGTGGTTTATTGTGAAACTGATGCTCCATTCCATATCACCAAATGTCTGTCATATCTACCTCAAAAATGATCTTTAAGGATTACATTTCTCCTTCAATTCTCCTGCCATTGCTTAAGTTTATCATCTCTCAGCTGGACTCTTGCAAGATATTCTTAAACAACAGCATTCATTGCATGCATGCTTGTTTTATATATATTCAGGTGTTTTATATATATTAAACATAATCTTTAAGAAATATATTAAAAAGCAAGTATTTCATATACATTTTGCAGATTAGAGCATGGTCTCTCACAGCATTTTTTGATCATACACCTAGTATATCCCAAGAATTCTATTTTCCGATTAGTATATATATCATCTCATTAGTGAACAAAAATTCAGGTGTAGCACAGTTAAATTTTTGCATAAAGTTAATTAGTGATATTTATTCTTGTTTTAACACAGATGGTCCTATTTTAATCCAAACTCTGTGACTTATCAACTATAGCCAGTTTATGTTTTAAGTCACTAGTTTGCTAACATTCTGTCCCTAAAATAATTCTATGATTATGCATTTATTCAATGAGTCGTAGGAGGGATAGAGCCTAGGGAAATACATTACACTCACTCACTCACTCACACACACACACACACACACACACACACACACACGCATGCACAAGACATATATTTTCCCACTGACTGCCTTCCAGGCCCCAAATTCACATTTCTTAACACAGTTACAAAAAATCTATTTAGGAATACTTTGCAGTCTTATTCCAGTTCCTCTACTCAAATCGTTCCTTCCTCTTGGATTGCCTTGTCCTTATCTTCACCTAGCAAAGTCTTAGCTTAAGCTATCCTTCAAGAACAAACTCAGTTAATTTCCCAAGCAAAACTGGTCATTCCTCTATGTGCACTCAACATTTCTTATAAACATGAAGATACTTCTGTTCAGTTCTGTACATACTATTTAGAAAACTTCACCCATTCAAATCTAGAATTGTGCTTGTTGCTGGGGCTACAGACACAAAAAACTTATGGCACCAGTTGAGGAGATAAGGTTGTCTTGCAATGCAGCTGACCCCAATTGATTCCCAACTCTGCATCTGGTCCCCCAGGTATCACCAGGGGTCACTTAAGAAATAAATAAGGAATGGTCCCTGAGCACTGTGGGGTGTGACTGGAGGAGGGGAAATTAGACAACTTCCTTGAAGGGTATCACACTCTAGAGAAGAAAGACATATAAGTAGTGCACATAAATATTCCTTAGAAAGTTAAAACATGAATCTATTTACATATCTTTCCTTATAACAGCAAGCTTCTTAAAGTTAGAAGCTTGTGTGTGTTATAATAGTTGTATCTAACAAATATGTGGGTGCCTGTCACACAATGAGAAGTGACTAATTGATAAATGGAACAACAAACTATCTAAAAGCTAAATGTAAAAAAAAACTAAATGAGCAACACTAATTTTTAAAATAGGAAGACATGGAATTTCAACTTGAAAGTGTAGGAAAATAAAATCCAAACTCAGTAGAGTTGATTAACCCAGTTTGGTGTTTGGTTACCACTATCAAGAAACCAGTAAAGATATTACACTAATTAGAGCGTATAAAGCTAATCATCCATCCTAGAATAACTCAAGTCCATAATAAGCTTATCTCTTACCACTGTGAGAAGGAAATGTGTTCTGGGTTTGGGGAGGGTTGTTTTGCATTTTGCATCAGAGGATACTAACAATCTTAAGTCTGGAAGAGTGAATTGAGTTTTGAAAGTACTTTTCTGTTTCCTCAGAATGACTCCCAGAGGGGCCACAAGATCCCATGGTAAGATCAGCAGTCACTATAAAGAATGATCTGAGAACTGTTCACAAACAGGAAGTTGTCCTGTTTTAAAGTTCCCTATTCCCACACTTCTATATAAGTAATGTGAACATTCTGCTCATTGTCCTAACTGATACTCTTTCAAAGTCTAATAGCATTACCAGTTTTTTGATGTAACTTTACGAAAGCATTCAATGTGAGGCAACACAATACCACAATTAGACAAATCATACAAGTATCTCCTAACCCAGATGAGAGAGAACCCTGAAAAATGTAAAATTTAGATTATTGATGTATTAAGATTTCTTTCTTCCACCTCTAGCCTGGTGTTGGTAAAGATAATTTAGTGATTTGGGGGTATGGAATCTCATCTGTCACTTCCTGAATTGTCCAGTCATTCCCAGTTTCAGAGGATCAGAGCTCAGTTGTTTTTTATTTGTTTGTTTGCTTTGTTTTGCTTTTGTTCTTTTAGTTTAAAGTTTTTTAATCACTGTGAATTACAGTGTTACAAAGTTACTCAGTATTAAGTTTTAGGCATAAAATGTTCTACCACCAGTTCCCTCACCAGTGTCCACTTCCCTTCACCAATGTCCCTTCACAGTTTCCCTCCTGTCCCCCAGCCCACCTCTAGTGCAGGCACTTTCCCCTTCCCCATTGTCTAGTGCTTCTTTTCCTAGAATCACTAATTTTTTTGTGTCTTTTGCATTTAAAAATATTTTATATTGCATCAACAAATTTTAGAGGTGACTGTTTTATTGTAAGATAAATATTTTTGTCTCTGCCTTCAATGTGATTCTGTATAACTTTCAATGACACATCTATTTTGTGGGCCCAGAAATTCTAAGCACTGGTCCGTTATGGATAGGATATCTAATTAGAAGACTTACTTTTGCAACCTTTATTTTCACCATCTCTCTTGTATCCTATTTTATCTCCATGTGAGGATGACTTACTTTAACTGTAAGCAACTGGAAAGTTGAACTCATGAATTGGCCCCATCTAACTTCAAGTCCTAACTTTCCCATTAGAAAATAGGACCTAGTTATTTAATATTTTTGAGCCTCCATTTCCTTAAGAATAAAAGAAGAAATAAGAGTAGGATGGAGCAGGAAACGGGGAGGGGGGTAAGAAAATGAGGTAGAGGAGGTACTTACTGAGGAGCCATAAAAGAAATAAAAAATGGAGAACTCATAGTACCACTTCAGGAAATTGTTGTCAGGATTAACTGTGATAATATGTATACATATATGTATATATGTATATCTAATTATTCAAGCTTTTGACTATTATTACAGCATTTGATTACAACATGTTAGAGACTAAATTATTATGAAAAGATGCCAAACTCTGTCTTGACACATATTTATTCATATTCATTCTATGAATGAATCAATAGCTTATTTTGAGTTCTTTATTTTAATTTTGTTTTGGGGTTGTTTTTCTGTTTGTTTTATTTGTTTGTTTGGCTACAACATTACTCAGGGCTTACTATTGGCTCTGCTCACAGGGCTTACTTCTGGTGAGCTTGAAGGAGTTGTGGGGTTTCTAGTATGGAATCTGGGTGGGCTGTGTGCAAGGCAAATGCTCAACCTTCTGTACTATCTCTCTGGCCCTTGAGTTTATATGTTTGTTTGACCACACCCAGCACCGCTCAGGGGTTACTCCTGGCTCTGCACTCAGGAACCACTCCCAGCATGCTCCGGACGATATGGGCTTCTGGGTATCAAACACAAGTCAGCCATGAGCAAGGCAAATGCTCTATCTGCTGTACTATCTCTCTGGTCCATCTTGAGTTCATTTTTAGGAGAGTTAATTTCATTCCTGAGCATCCTAAGGTAAAAAGAGCGATTTTCTTCCCGGCACAGATATTAGCTTAAAGGAGGTCAGGGAAAAACAGAAAAGACCATATGTGATGAAAGAAGAAAAGAACCATATCTTCTTTCTGTCCTTTCTTCCCCCAGAGAAGCCGTTTACCACTGAGATCTCCCCTGGGCCCCAGGTTGCTGCACAGATTGGAGACTCACTGGTGTTGACATGTGAGGCCAGAGGCTGCAACTCCCCATCTTTCTCCTGGAGGACTCAAATGGACAGCCCATTGGGTGGAATGGTAACGAGTGAGGGTACCAAGTCCACGCTGACCCTGAGTCCTGTGGGTTTTCAGCATGAACATTCTTACCTGTGCACTGTGACATGTGGACAAAAGAAACTGGAAAAGGGAATCCAGGTGGAACTCTACTGTAAGTGCTTTTCAGAACTGTTGATCCTGATTCTATTGCGGGGTGGGGGGAGATATAATGCAAGTCAGTGCTATACAATGAGATCCATGTGTTTAGAAAGGAAGTTTTATATAGTGGAAAGATCCTAAATCTCTAAGCCAGTACTTCTGATGCAAACTAATTGTGCTCAGTCTTAAGTATATGTTACACATCCACCTGGAATTCCCAGTCTTTATTATGTATCTTGCCAATACTCTTTCATCATACATTTGAACATACTTCATGATTCTTGCTTTCCATCTGGACTATGTGACTTTGTGTGCATGGAAGGCACTGAGGTAACAGTGAGCAAGAAAGAGGGTCAAGAACCATGCCGATATCAGGCTGGGAGTAGTTTTCAACTATCTGGATTGGAGATGAGAACTGAGTCTTTTGTTTGGAAGGCATATTTGGAAAACTTATCAGAATTATGCAGTGAGGGTAGGGAAAAGTGAGGCAATGGGGACAAGAGAAAGGAGAAAAATGAGAATAGGGACTTAGACTTGTATTAAAGAATGATCAGCATCTGGAGCTTAGGTAAAAATCAGGTCCAGGAAATCTTTATGTTGATTTACATTACATACATATACAACAATTTTTATTGCTGCTATTTTTACCTTATAGCAGAGCAGATAGGGCGTTTGCCTTGCACATGGCCAACCCAGGTTCAATTCCTCCACCCCTCTCGGAGAGCCCGGCAAGCTACCGAGATTATCCCGCCCGCGCAACAGAGCCTGGCAAGTTCCCCATGGCATATTCAATATGTCAAAAACAGTAACGACAAGTCTCACAATGGAGACATTACTGGTGCCCGCTCGAGCAAATCGATGAACAATGGGAAGACAGTGCTACCAGTACTACAGAATTCCTAAAAACCTGAAATCGATGAGTTCAACATTGATCAAGTTCTTCAGTTTATACCATATAAAGGAGACAATATGCTAAATAATCACCAGTTTATTTTTAAGAAGATTTTCTTGCCCCTTTTTTACTCAGCAGAACAATTGTGGAGATTTTTCACAAAAAAAACTTACCAAACTTCTGTTATCCCTCAGGAGCTTGTTCAAAATTAGAGTATATCTATAAAGGGATATGACTTTCTCTCAGAAAGGGTAAATTTTATTGTATTATCACATTACCCAGAGTTTAGGATTTGCTGATGTAGGCACATCACCAACAGAAATGAGAATCAGCAGTACTATTGCAATATGGAAATACCAGTGAATACATCACTTCAACACTTTACCTACGGGAAAAATTTTACCATGGCTCTTGAGAATTATTTTAGATTCATTTTTATTGATTTGCCCAAGATAGATTGTAAATAATGTTCTGTAATTTAAAATCTCTTACAGATATTTTTCTTAACTACAAGTATTATGTAAGAAATGTTTAAAACTCATTGCCTAAAGTTGGCTATTAGAAATTGAAATATTAAATTGAGAACTAGTATATGGATCTTGTTTTATATCAGGAGATTCTGTAAAGCCAGGCCAGGACTCTGAGCTCAGAGAAATAGAAATTCAGATATCAGATTAGCAAAGTACAAGATAATTAAGAATAATGAAAGTCTTTCAGTCTCTATAAATTTTATGTTTTCATAGCTATATTAAATAATATTTAATGTTACATAAATAATATTAAAGTATTTAAGTATTATTTAATATTTAGTAACAAATTTAAATTATTAAATATTATTTAATATTTATTAATTAGTTAATTTTTTGTTTAAAAAAATTTTTTAATGACTCACCATGAGAAACAGTTACAGTCTTACAAACGTTTGTGCTTACATTTCAGTCATACAATGATCGAGTACCCATCCCTTCACCAGTGCGCATTCTTCACCACCAATATTCCCAGCATCCCTTCCACCACCCCCACCCCATCCTCCACCCCCCCACCCCTGCCTCTGTGGCAGGCAGATTCCCTTTTACCCTCTCTCTATCCTTTAGGGTTTTGTGGTCTTCAATGCAGATATTAAGCAGCAATCATGTTCAATCTGTAGTCTATTTTCGGCACACATCTCCCATCCGAGCAGGTCCTCCAAGCATCCTTTACTTGGTGGTCCCTTCTCTATCCCATCAGCCTTTTCCCCCAGGATGTGAGGCCGGCTTCCAAGCCGTGGTCCTTATCTAAACTATCCTTGAGCATATATCCTCTACACACTTTTCTGGCTGGAAACAATTTAAATAAATCACTTAACCAGTATGTGTCTTTGAATACCAAGATAATGCATATTAAGGGGGAAGTACATAGCAAATATACAATAGATTGTGGCAAATATAAACAATTGTTAAAGCCTGTAGTTACTAAATAAGATGGTGAAAGTTGATGGCTCCTCAGCATGAAGCTATAACTGTTAACAAGACTGTACCATTAAGATGACAAAAATAAAAAGTATATTATTGCTTGGTGATTTCATGAGTTAAGTATTTTTCAAATTTAAGCATTATGATATATAATTATAAATATTTATACTTAATGTTATTTTTATATCTGCAGTCATTCTAACTCAGATGAGCTAGGGCAGCCATTTGGAGACCTTTACATTTAAGAGATTAATTATTATTGACTACAAGTTATATTTGTAGCCAAATGTCACTTATGAACATCATCTTTCACTTATTTGCAGCATTCCCTAGAGATCCAGAAATTGAACTGAGTGATCTACTAGTGACTGGCAATACAGTCACTGTAAGCTGCAAGGTTCAGGATGTATATCCTTCAGATCGGTTAGAGATTCAACTACTGAAGGGGGAGAGAATTATGAAGAATATAAACTTTTTTGAAGACATAGATAAGAAATCTCTAGAGACCAAGAGTTTGGACATAACCTTCACTCCTTCCATGGAAGATACTGGAAAAGTTCTTGTGTGTCTGGCTAAGTTAGAGATTGATGAAATGGAGTTTGAACCCAAACAAAGGCAAAGTATACACACACTTTCTGTTAATGGTAAGTATATGCCTGATGAATACACAAGTTAATATTAATTTCTTTATTAGAGTGATAGACAATAGTTATCATGAGGTTAATAGTTAAACAATTTGGAGGGAATTCCCTTAAATTTTGAAAGAACAATTTTAAAAACAAATTAACCCAACACTTAATAATGCCTATCTTCCTATAATTCCATAAATTGGGTATTTGAGAAGGGGTCAGGTGGGCAGTTCATATATTCAAATATGGTATCAGATGAACTCACCAGTGAGCCTTCACTAAGTTGGTTGATAAGAGAAGATACCAAATCCCAGTTTTCTTCCTCTCAGGGCCTTCTCTGGGGTATTCAAAACTCCCCCTTTTTTTACTGTATCTTACCACATGAAATATAGTCTACATTTAGTCACTAGAGAACATTTTTTGGAGAAAGTTAATAATAAAATCAGACTATTATGTCCAGAGATTTGCCCTCTTCTTCCTTGTTACACTGATTAAAATGAGTCACATGATTAGCTACAAGGAGTGAAAAAATAGGCTCCACCTTTTCATAGGAAAGTCATATAATGTGTGGCCATATTTAATTGTACCATGAATGCCAAGGAAAACTATTATTGGTTATTTTTTCTTTATTTATTATTATTTTATTTTAATGAATTGCTGTGAGATACAGTTACAGGCTTACAAACTTTCATGATTGCGTTTCAGTCAAACAATGTTCAAGTACCCATCCCTTCACCAGTGCCCATTCTCCACCACCAATGTTCCCAGTATCTCTCCCCCGGCCCCCACCCCTTCCCACCTCCTGCCTCTGTGGCAGGCAAATTCCCTCTTACTCTCTCTGTCCTTTTGTGTGTTATGGTTTCCAATACAGGTATCAAGTGGCCATTATGTTTGGTCCATAGTCTACTTTCAGCACACATCTACTATCCCAAGCGATCCTTCCAACCATCATTTACTTAGTGCTCCTTTCTCCAGCTACCTTTTCCCCCAGAGCATGAGAACGGCTTCCAAGTCGTGGGGCAATCCTCCTAAACCTTATCTCTACTGTCCTTAGGTGTAAGGTAAGGTAAGGTAAAGGCCCTCCCGTTGATCGTCGATTTGCTCGAGCGGGCCCAGTAACGTCTCCATTGGAGACTTTGTCGTTACTGTGTCTGGCATATCAAATACTCTCGGTAGCTAGTCTCCTATTATGTTACTTTATATTCCACAGATGAGTGCAGTCATTCTATGTCTATCCCTCTCTTTCTGGCTCATTTCACTTAGCATGATACTCTCTGTTAATCCACTTACATGCAAATTTCATGATTTCATTTTTTTCTAATAGCTGCATAGTATTCCATTGTGTAGATATACCAAAGTTTCTTTAACCAGTCATCTGTTCTCGGACTTGGGTTTTCTCCAGATTCTGGCTATTGTAAATAATGCTGCCATAAACATACAAGTACAAATGTCATTTATACTGTACTTTTTTGCATATTGGGATATATTCCCAGAAGTGGTATTGCTGGGTCAAATGGAACCTCAATTTCTAGTTTTTTGAGAAACATCCATATTGTTTTCCAAAAGGGCTGGACTAGTTGGAATTCCCACCAGCAGTGAAGGAGAGTCCCTTTCTCCCCTCTTCCATGCCAACACCCGTTGTTTTTGTTCTTTCGGATATGTGCCAGCCTCTGTGGTGTGAGATGACATCTCACAGTTGTTTTGATCTGCATCTCCCTGATAAAGAACATTTTATCATGTGCCTTTTGGTCATCTATTCTTTGGTAACAAGAGCTACTAAACAGATTTAAGCAGGACTTAGTTTCATTAGGCATTGATGATGTGCTTATATTCTGTTATTCTGGATCTCTTAACATAAATGGGGATGGAAACATCCCTTATCAATATGTATAAACTGTTATAACCCACTGAATCCACAGCCCAGTTTTGAAATATTACCAAAACTTGTCAGAACTTGGGGTAGTAGAGGTCAACTTAGTTAAGTGTTCCTATCTTTTCAGTTCCTCCCAAGGATATGAACATCTTGGTGAGACCCTCTTCCATCCTGGAGGAAGGTAGTTCTGTGAATATGACATGCTCTAGTGATGGATTTCCAGCTCCAAAAGTCCTGTGGAGCAGGCAGCTAAGTAATGGAAATCTACAGCCTCTTTCAGAGAATACAACTGTCACCTTGATTTCTGCAAAAATGGAAGATTCCGGTATTTATGTGTGTGAAGGGTTTTACCCAGCTGGAATTAGCAGAAAAGAAATAGAATTAATTGTCCAAGGTGAGATAGCTGTTATTAATGAGTTACTAATTCTGTTATAATTTTTGTTGTTTTATTGGTTCTGAATAATGTCCTCTTGGTAAGAAAAATTGTTATTAAAAGACACACTGAGGGCTTTGAATTGTGCATGATGGTATGCTATATATCCATGGAAAAATGCTGGCATGTCCTTTCTTATGAGTCATTCCAAATGCCTCAGCCTGAAATTCTTTTAACTTTAAATTGAGATATTACGTTCAGAAACTGCATCATGAGCTTACTACACATCTAAGGCAGAGGTTATGGCATTGTAATAAAGATAGCAAGAGATATATATGTGTCTGAATAACTTTTAGGATTCAAACCAATTCTAGAAGAATTGGATTGCTAACGTTAATCTCACCAGAGGACTGGTAGCATTTGCTTACAACCCTTTGAAAACACTTAAGTCTTGTAAATTTCTGAGATTAAGAGTAGCCTTGACATTGCCCTCTGGTTCATCAATTCAATAGCACAGAATCACTAGAATAGATTATATTGTCAGATGCAAGCCATTTTCTCTAGGAAGGAAAGCCAATAACGAAAACAGAACTTTTCCTAGTTGACAGGTTGAAGTTCTAAGTAGCTTAACAAAAAACCATGTAGTGATCAATTTGAGTTTTCCTCTGTACTTTTCCTTTGAAGGTTCCAATTCTTTTCTTACACTGCAGGTATCATTTCTCTCTTACCTGCGGTTATTATTTCCACAAAGGTATTCCAAAATTTCTTTTTATCTCTTCTCAATGATTATTTATTTATTTATTCGCTTTTTGGGTCACACTTGGCGCTGCTCAGGGGTTACTCCTGGCTCTCTACTCAGGAATCACTCCTGGCGGTGCTCAGGGGACCATATGGGATTCTGGGAATCGAACCTGGATCGGCCACATGCAAGGCAAACGCCTTACCCGCCCTGTGAATGGTAATTTATAAATTTGTAAAGGAAGAACCTTAGAAAATTCATCCACTATCTTAAAGAAAGCACTTAGGATGAATGTCATGATACTGTAGCTCTAATTGGAGAAGAATCATCAGTTATATCACAAAAGAGATGAATTTAGCACGAATTTCACATAAAATGGGGATGTGGCTCCACTTTTCAGACTGTGTACTAATGAGCAATATGTCAGGTTCTTAGTCCAGGCACTTACATCTAGTAAATGATATTTGTGGTTGATAATGATAGTAGGAAAGTCATCTCTACACAGTTTAATTTTTTTAATCTGGGAGGATTCATCTTTAAACCCAGAGTCCTGTAAAGATCTTTGTTCCTCAAGAAATTTTTTTTTTGCATAACACCAAAAAATGTTCCATTCCACATTTGAATTCTTTGGCTAGAATTAGAGCAGAACTATATTAAGGAATGCAAGAAAAATGAAGGCGTGTCTTGTCTCACTTTAAAAAAGTGATCATTTGGGTGTGAGGATGGAGGATGTGGTTAAATGGTACAGAAACACCTTACATGTGTGAGACCAGGGGTTCCATTCTTGGCTCCACAAAACAAATATATGTATATATAATTATAAGCATAATTATACATAATATATATGTCAAATCAATCTAGTAAATGCTTGATGTCTTTAATTAGTCTTTCAAAAAGTTAATGCCTATATTAAATACACATAACTCTCTGACAGCCATTTTTCATGGAATTAAAATTAATATAGAATGGACTTATATTTCACTCAATCTGACGTTCTTTTTAAATTGTCTTTGCAGTTGCTCCAAAAGACATACAACTTACAGCTTTTCCATCTGAAAGTGTCAAGGAAGGAGACACAGTAATTATCTCCTGTACATGTGGAAATATTCCTAAAACTTGGATCATCTTGAAGAAAAAAGCAGAGACGGGAGACACTGTGCTAAAGTCTAAAGATGGTGCATATACTATCCACAAAGCCCAGTTAGGAGATGCAGGAGTGTACGAATGTGAATCTAAAAATGAGGTTGGCTTGCAGTTAAGGAGTCTAACACTTGATGTTAAAGGTAACTTGTTTGGGGTATATTTTTAAATATAAGTCAATGGTTTGGCAGACTGTAAAAAGTTTCTAGGGTTGGGTGAATAAGTTGGCAAAATGAAACTTAATTCTATGCTATTATGGTTATTTCTTAATGCTCTTTAAAATAATCATATACAGCTGTTCTATCCTATGAGTTTAGCCAGAGAGTTGACATCAATCTTTGATGATTGCAGAGTTCCCACTTGCTTTCTCAAAGTTGATTATTCATCATTGGTTTCTGAGGTATTGCATTTCCTTAGCGTTTAAACACAATTTTGAAATTTTTCCTTAGGGATTATAAGGAAAGTAAAGTAGTAAGATTAATAAATGGAAAAAGAAAGGTCTATCCTTTTCCCTTCCTACAAGATGAGAACTACACTCTGAAAATGGAATGACTACATATTTTCTAGATTAACTTGTTTCAGAGAATAATCAATAATGACAACCTTGGTGCTAAATAATAGAATAGACCATCTTCTTAAAAATCCAAGTTCCTCACAGGGGATTGCCCTGCCACAGAGACAGGGGGGATGGGGGGATGGGGGTGGGAGGGATATTATCCATGGTGGTGGAAGATGGGCACTGGTGGAGGGATGGGTATCTGATCATTGTATGATTGAAACCAAAGAAAAAAAAATTGTAAATCTACAACTTTAAAAAAAATAAAATAAAATAAAGGGGAAAAAAAAGTATGAAAAAAAAAGAGGTACTATGATCTATATAAGGGAGATTTCAGGGCTCTCTGGGGGGACACGTGCTTCAGAGAACCCGGGAAGATGGGGCTGAGGACAGAAGCTGAGAGAACAAAGGTGCACGTGCTTGAGAGATCCTGGGGCCTCCATGACATACATCTCTTCCATGTAATAAACTGCTACTAAGACCAAAAAAAAAAAAAATCCAAGTTCCTGGGGCTAGAGCAGTAGCACAGTGGGTAGGGCGTTTGCCTTGCACGCAGCCAACCTAGGTTCGATTCCCAGCATCCCATATGGTCCCCTGAGCACCGCCAAGAGTAATTCCTGAGTGCATGAACCAGGTGTAACTCCTGTGCATCGCCGGGTGTGACCCAAAAAGCAAAAAAAAAAAAAAAATCCAAGTTCCTTAGCATCTTCATTCCGATGGAGAGAGTCAGGGGGAAATAGCCTCAGAGAAAGTTCAGAATCTCTTTGTCTCCTAATTCCTCTAATATATAAATAATAGGATCTGTTGACTGTATTGGAGAAAAACAAATATGTCAAATTTTATTAAACAGTTTTCCACTCCTTGCAAGAAAGTGAGCTTCCATTGTATATTCAAAGCCATACTTGGAATTAACTAATAGTAAACTGTAAACTAATGAAACTCTTAATAGCCTCTGGCATTTTGTGGTACATACTATATACAATGGACTACTCAGCTATAAGAAAAGATAGTCTTCCAACTTGCTGCTATGTAGATAGCTCTGGAAAGTATTATGCTGTGTGAAGTTAATCAGAAAGAAAGAGAAACCACAAAATGATCTCTCATGTGTGTGGGATATAAAGAAATTTAATAGAGGTATGAAACATGCCAAAAGGTGAAAAAAATCAAAATTGATCCCCAGAAAGAAGCTTACCACAGGGAATTTGATGCAGGATGGTTAGGAGTGACCAGGATGAGAGGGGACTGTGTGACAGTAGTAGAGGGAGATGACACTCTAGTGGAGCATGTGGTAATGGATTGTGTTATGTATAAAACCCAATCATTAACAGTATTGTAAACTACCGTGCCTAAAATAAATTTAAAATTTAAAAAGAAATTATTAAATATTTTACAGAAAAGTAGAACTTAGATCAGAAAACCAGTAAACTTTTTTACTTATCTGGTTATATTTCTAAAGATTGCAAATTTTACCATACATTTTCTATTATCTCATCAAAGCACAATTATATTAACTCATTCATCTAGAAACGTTAAAGAAAGGAGAAATATCACCACTGCATATACAATTTTCAGTCATTTGTCTGCAGTGATTATCCTGAAAAGAATTGGTCTAGTCAATGAAGTGACTATCAAAAATGGAACAAAATTTAAAAAATGGAAAATCTATCTTTTTAAGTTTCATCTTTCTCAAAATGATACTGGGATGTATATATTATCAATATTTCCAATGACTTTGGGGTTGATTTCTGGACTAAACTCTGTTATGAGTGGGTTTAAATTCATACCTTTCTATTTTCTTTAACCCTTGATGCCTCCTGGCCAGCTTTACTTAGTCTTAGCTCAAGGAAACCAGACTTAGAACATTTTTATAGTTCTATTTGTACTTAATGATTATTATTAAAAGTCATATAAATTCTTCTCCATTTAAAATTATTTTCCATGTATTGTTGTCTTTTCTAACATCTTTGTGAAATATTTGTCATTTTCACTCATCGTATCTAGCAAGAGAAAGTAGAAAATGAGGCAATAGTCGTCATATTTACTTTGAAGTGATTTTTTAACTTCAACGAGTTAAAAAAAATTTACTTCCCGGAATTTGATTCTTTTCTACTTGGTTGACCATCATTGATTAGAAATCATTAGAAGAATATGATAATTATCAAAGTCAAATAATTTATTCCTTCTAATACGAAGACAAATTATATGCCACTTAATATGGCATGTATTTATATGTGCCAAATAAAAACTTAATATATGCCACCAGATATATGGCTTACATGGAAGAGCACTTGATGCCTTGTACTTATGAGGGCCAATTTCTGGTACTCAGCACCACACCACCTGGAGTGTCCACCACAATAATAATAACAACAACAACAACAAAAGGAAGAAGCATAATAGTTACTTAATGGTACGAACACTTAAGGAGAGAGGGAATAAATGCCATGCTATCCCCCTCAGATACACTTCATATATTAAATAGTATTTCAACTGTCATATAAGTAAGAGTAATGAATTTTAAAGGTTTTGTTTACTGTTGTCTTCTTCACCCAACTTACAAAGAATGAAATAGAAGGAAGGATATAGAAACAAAAATGTGCATTACTATTCAGAAAAATATTGTTTGAGGACCAACTACTCCAAACAGTGAGCGTGGTACTAATTCTCAATGTTGAATCAAATAGAAAGTAGATATGTCTTTATCTAATTAAGAATCTGTAGGAGGAAACCAAATTTAATAATCGTATAAATGAATGTTTGATTACAAGTTGTGATAGGAGCCATAAAAGGAATGTACAGGGGATGTAAAATGTTTATTAGAATTCCTAATTTAGGTTGCTGGAAATCTGGGCCAGAAAATAACATATACTCTAAATAACATTTAAGCTAAAACATAGTACTATCTAAATGATATCAGTCTACCAAGTGATAAGGTTTTGAAGAGAAATAACAAAGATCCCTTACTTCAGTGGTACAAAACGTAAATGTTGCCATTTTTGCAAAATCCGTTGAAAATAATTCTTTCATTTACAATCATATATGGTATTTTATTATAATCATCAGTCTAGATGTTTCAAGAATTTTCTTGGAGAACTAGTTATTTCAGTTCATGTTGACCAGAGTCCAGATCTTCAGTATATATTTACATTTCCTCAAGCAAACACACCTCTCTAGTTTCTGCTTTTGTAAGCAAATATCCTCCTACCTTCCATGCTATCTCCTTTAGATGTCCAACACTCCCCTGCCACTCCCCCCACATTTAGAAGTTTCCCCCTTCCATTGTATAATAGCACCTGAATCTATTTGAATCCAAGTTTGTGGACATCAGCAATTATATCTTTGGCTGCACCATGACCATAGAAACTACTAACTCACTTTCTAACTCAGAGAAACAAGCATTTAGGATTCTGCTGGTTCTTGTCGCTACTTGATTCACTTGCTTTTTAGATAATTAGTTGCTCTTTAAAAATAAAACATGTGACAGTTTTTTTTTTATTTAAGACATTAATCACATCCATTTTGTTATTTTCCAGGGAAAGAAATTAAGGAGTACTTTTCTCCTGAGCTTCTTGTGCTCTATTGTGCATCCTCTTTAATAATACCTGCCATTGGAATGATCATTTATCTTGCAAGAAAAGCCAACATGAAAGGGTCCTATAGTCTTGTAGAAGCACAGAAATCAAAAGTATAGTTAATATTTGAAATGTTCAACCAGAGACACTACTATCAGTTCAAATACATACTATCACTCATCATTCCATGAGGACAACAGTCTGAGAGCCCTGACTTGAAAGAATACAGAGAACTATTGAAAAGAAATTGCTGCCTACGCTCCTTGCGGTGAGCAAGAAATCAAAAAAAGAACTTTCTGCCTAAACAGTAGAGACAACCATTGATATGTAATGACTGGAGTAGTTTCTTCACATGTACATACAATAACATGATCTGTATATATGTAAAATAAAATTATGTCATAGCAATATTACTTTGAACAGCAGCACTCTATATTCATATCTAAAGTAGTGTTGCCTGAACAGATTATTATAACTTAATGAATATTATGAAAATTTAACATTAATATTGACTGGCAGTTGACCTAGGTCATCTTTTTAATATCTTACTTAACAAAATGTTATTCCTATGAAGTTATTGAAAAAATCTTGTGTTTTCTAAAAGTGCCACAATTTGATATTTTAATAGGAAAATTATAAACCAAGAAAGCACTGGATTGATTTTCAGGTACGAAACACTTCAACCTTTGGAATAATGGTTGACTGGATTTATCCAAATGGTACTGACATGGTACAGAGATATTTTATGATGTTTATTCATTAGCTTTGGGTAACTTTCTGAATGTGGTTTAAAAATGCAGCTTCCTTTGATCTTCTCTTATAAATGTTTAGCTTTTTTATTTAGTAAAATGATAATTTCTGAAATTGAGAGTTGTATGTTTATTTATTATAGTTCATCCTCTTTAATAATTTTAGCTTCTTATGAAATGCAAAGCACAAAGAAAAGTTAAAGCCAACAGTAATAATTAGATATCCAAACTGTAGTTCTCAGACTACTTTATCAAAACAACTACTGGAACGCAATAAAAATTTAGATTTCTGGGATTGGACAGATTGTACAGAGGTTAACACATTAGCCTAGGACATGGATAACTCCCCTTTGGTCCTCAGCACTATGTATGATTTACCAAGAAGCACCAGGAGTGATCCTTGAGTACTGAACCAGGAGTAAACACTGAGAACTGATGAATGGGGTCCAAAAAGAAAACAAAAGAATCCAAATTTCTTGGTACCATTATAAGCCATCTGCTCTTCCTTTTGATTCTGTTATAAAAAGAATTTAATATAGAATACATTAAAAGTGTGAATAGAGATGCTTACACGTTAAAGGGCAGAAATGAACACAATATGTCCATACCAAGACTAAGAGATAGAGAATTATTCTCTTCACTCACTCACCACAACTCTCCTACAAGGCAGAACCAATATCTTGAACTATCTATCGACCATTTCCTTATTTCTTTGGAGGTTTATGTCTATATACATAGCCCTAGTTAAAATACCATTTAGTTGTGCCAAGTTTTGATTGTTTTATATAGATATAGCACTGTAGCACTGTCCTCCCGTTTGTTCATTGTTTTGCTCAAGTGGGCATGTTGTTACATGTTGTGAGACATGTTGTTACTGTTTTTGGCATATCGAATACACCATGGAGAGCTTGCCAGGCTCTGTCATGTGGGCAGGATACTTTCAGTGGCTTGTCTGGCTCTCCGAGAGGGACAGAGGAATCGAACCCGGGTTGGCCGCGTGCAAGGCAAACGTGCTATCCACTATGATATCGCTCCAGCCCTATATATATATATAATCAAATGGTATGGCAGATTAATGACATATCCCACTCAAAAATATGTTTTTTCCATAATTCACCCCTACTGCATATGGCCTTGTATCATGAATTTTTGTTACTCTATTAAGCATTTAATTATAATTTTTGTCACAGTTCACTTACCTATTTAAATATGGATAATTGGGCTGTTTTCATTTTTTAATATAATGCATAAAGATTATAGAAGTGTTGTTTTACATGTTCCTTGTAAGTGTGAGAATTAGCTTAGATGGGGTTAGATAGAGTACAGGAATTAAGAATCTTGCTTTATAAGCAGCCAACTACAATTTTACCCCCACCACACTGTGGTCTCCTGAGCACCACCAGGCGTGACTCTGAGTACAGATCAGGGAATATTTCCTAAATTTCACTGGGTGTGTCCCAAATTCCCCACCACCTCAAAGGAATTAGCTTAGAGTGTAATGTAATCATTTCTCCAGAGTATACACGTGCTAATGAAATTGCTGGATCATGGGAAGTATACATGCTGAGGTTAAGAGGCAAAACCAAACTAATTTCTGGTGGCTGAATTAAGTGTGATTTTCATATGCAGTAGAAAAGACTTCACATTAACAAAACAGCTATTTGAAATTGGGTACTGGCCAAATTGTCTGCCTCTTAAATTTTTACTTTTCCACCATGAATGGAATATTTTCCAGGGGCAAATCTTGGGGCATAATATGAGTATCCATTAAAGTCATTAAAATAGTGATCATATTAAGTAAATTTTCAGACCACAATTCTAAGAAGGAAGAAATTATATATATATGATAAATATATTAAAATCCAGGAAAATTTCTAACATTTAAAACTGATCAACATACTGTTAAACACACAATGGACCATGCTGGAAACCAATAAAGGAAATAAATACTCTTCAAAATGAAGAACAATGAAAAATAAAGAGCACATTGATTCACAGCACATTGAATCTATAAATTGCTTCAGGTAAAATGGCTATTCTGACAATATTATTTTTCAAGTCCATGGGTATGAGATGACTTTTAATTTTAACTTTTAAGAGGAAAATAATTTGGCCAGTACCCAATCAAAAATGATCAGAATCTATGGAACAAAGTAAAAGCAGTACTAAGGATGACATCCATAGCAAAATAAGCCACACTAGGAAATACTAAGAAGTCAAGGAAATTATTTTACAGTTTGAAAAACTAGAGAAAGAGTAAGTAAATCCCAAAATAGAAGAAATAAAACAATAAAAAAAATCAGGGGATGAGAGGGGGTCCAGGTAAAATAGTGAATTTAGCAAGTCATTATAAATCATGCCTACCAGAAAGGTATCCAGTCAAAATAGGTAATGAGATGTCTGGGGAGGGACCAGAACCAAGTACTTAAACTATACAGTAAATTTTTTAAGCATCACAACTTTGTATGGAAACCTTTCATAAAATTCTTAAAAACACACAAAAGTAATAAAGTAATAAAGAAAAGGACATATATTTACAAATAATAAATTAAAGGAGGGGGAAAATTTAAAGCATCCCACTTATAATCCCCTCAAAGAAAGACAAAAAACCTGGGATTAAATTTAACAGATGAATGAGAAGAAACATTATACATTGAAGCTGTAGGGAAAGGAATAGAAAACACAAAATTAAAAGTTATCTCATATCCATGGACTTGAAAAATAATTTTGTCAGAATAGCCATTTTACCTGAAGCAATTTATAGATTCAATGTGCTGTGTTAGTGAGATAGGTAAATCTCTAGTGAGACAGGTGCTGTATTAGTGAGGCAGGTAAGTCTTCTACCTCAACAATAGTTGCTAGATCTACTGAAGATTTACCTGATTCACCTAGTCTTTAAAAAGGTTATGATATTTGTCGGACAGTGTTTTCAATTTCTTTTTCTAACTGATTTTACAATGAAGCATAGACACATGCTAGGGCTTTCCCTCCCAGGTATATATCCTTCATATTGATTATAAATTTGAACATAGATCTTATTTATTTTCCCAGTGTTTTAGTGGGAAGAAGTAAAGGGCTGTTTTGAGAAGGTATATCAACGCTTTCAAGGTATTGGTAAGGTTTCATTTTCTTCTTAGTTCAACCATATTATGATTTTCTGAGAAATGGACTCACATCACATCACTCCTTTCAGTACTGAATTTTTTTTTAATTTATAAGACTGGAAAGTTTATCAAAACCTACTTTAATAGTATAGTAATCAAAAAACAAACAAACAAACACTGTCCTCCCGTTGTTCATAGAGTTGCTCGAGCGGGCCCAGTAACGTCTCCATTGGAGACTTTGTTGTTACTGTGTTTGGCATATTGAATACATCACGGGTAGCTTGCCAGGCTCTGCCAATAGTAATCAAACCAAGACCAATAAATAAATTTGAAAAAAATTCATGACATTCTTGTAACCATTACCATCACTTTTCCTGTTCTTAATGAAGTATATAGGAAAATAAAATAAAATAAAACAAAACTCAAATTTGTTTACAAAGAAAGACATTCAGCAAGTGGTCTAACACAGAAAGTTGTTATTTTTTTTCCTTTTGGCTTTATATATTAAATGGTTACAAATGTCATTTTTGTTCTGGTAATTGCAGATTTGGGTAAAATGCCAAAATCAATTGAAGTGATCATCAAAATTACTGATAAAAGTAATTATTGCATGTAGAAGTAGGTATCTATAGTATGAAGAAATATTTGGGACCATTTTTAAAGTCCAGTTATCAGAATTTTTTTCTATGATGAATATAAGTCAGATTAGTCAGAGAACTTTTACCCAAACAAGGGAACAAAGTGGAAAATGAGAATTTATAATTGTGGATACTATTAATGCTTTAGGGCATTCTAGTAAAAATAATCTCAAACAACATTTTGTGATAGAAAATGTTTCAAATACCTTGCTCCGCATTATAAGAAGAATAATACTTGTTGTCAAATATGTCATAATTCAAGTGAAAATGAATACATTTATAGAAATAAAAACTGAAAGAAAAAATAACTCTGGACAGGAAATTGTACAAAGGATTCAGTCATTTTCACAAAGAAAGTGTATCTGAGTTGTGTCATAAAATCAGTGGATACGATGTAGAAAAGACCCTATGAGGACGGGCAGATATTTAAATACAAGGGGAAAGAATCAGCATAGGATTGGCAGGAGTAAAGTCTTAACACTTCTGTGTAGAAAAGAGCAATTTGGTCCATTTGGTAAAAACATGGAGGAGTGTAAAAGTGCAGTAAGAACTAAAGGTTAAAAAGTGAATCAGAACAAACCGTGGCAGTTTTTGAATACCAGACTAGGGCGTTGGGACTTTTTTCAAAAGTCAGAGCCATTGGAGGGGACTAACAGGGCTACGTAAGATTGACACTGTATGTTTGTCTAATGTTTTCTATCTGTACTGTTTCCCCAACTATTCCTATACACTTTTTTTTCCAGCTCACTGCTTTTATCGATATGTTCTTTCTGGCATTTTAGTCCCAGGGATGCCATGTTAGAGGGAAATAGAACAACTTTGTTTATGCTATACAAGGATACAATAGAACATCCTTTAGGTAGTAATGTTGGAATATTATTTATCTGCAAAAATTATATTTTACAAATATCTTTTTGGCCTGAAGAAATTCCCAGGCTTTGATCACTAGTGATATAATGGATTAATAAAAACAGAATTAAATTTGTCCATAAAACATGAAAGCATCATGAAATTATGAATGCTGCTTGTCTATATGCATGTATTCAGAGAGGAAAAGTGTTAATAATAGTGGTACTATGTGAATTTTAATTTTCTTATTTATACCATTCTCCATTTTCCACATAAATTACTGCAGTTATAATTAGAAGTCATTTTCTCATGTATTAATGGCAGTAATACGACTTCAAACAAAAACCAACTAAAAATAGCATTCTACCTGACCTTGAATCTTGCAATTCTCCAAGTCCTATAAATACGCAGGGCCTGGAGTACCAGACAGGGCATGAGATGGCTGCTTTGGCTCTCTGAGTATTTGGATGCTTTTTGTCTTAGAACAAAAAAGAAAGAAAAGCACCGAACGACCTTTCATCACT